TTACAATAACATTATAAGAGACAGTTCTCAGGAATATAACCAGTTAGTTCTACTTTTAAGAATATTGAAACAGGATTTTGCAGCACACTTTACAATTTCAGTATTAGAAAAAATAAACGACAATTTATTGTCATCAGACAGCCTTAAAAATTGATCATTTACATTTTCTGCTTTGGCAAATAAATCTTTCCTAATATCCTCATACCTTGGACAATATAAAATAACATGTTTCTCATCTTCAATTCCAGTTTTACAGATTGGACAAATTCTTTGGTTCAAAGCTAACCTTTCATATCTGCCCGTTTCGAGTCTGATAGGGGCTACCCCACATCGGAACTTTGCAAATGCTGCTCTATGCTTATTCGGCAGGATAGCAGTTACATATGCTTCTGTTTCATAACTAAACTTAAAGGTTCTGTAAGTCCTCAATTTATTTCCCCCTTGCCCAGAACTACTATTTATTGTATGTAGTGACTCAATCCATTCATCCAAATACTCATCCAGGTATGAACTGGTTAGCTTTTCCACCAAACAATTTTTATTTAAAACATTATTAAGAACTAAAAAATTCACCACAGTTATATTTCTCAAAAAATTCTTTTACTCTAAAATACCAGTTCTTACAAGTTCTACCCGCCTGCTTAAAACAGTACATATTTACTTCACAATTTATTCTCATACTGTTCATACTTGCAGATCGACACCAAGTACTCGCCACACATTTAAGTTGTTTAATAAAGATAGGTTCCCAGCCCATATCCCAGCAACTGCAGCATTTGGAGTTGTATCTGCCTGTTCCTAAGAAAAACCTCATTGCCCGGTTCTGTACTGCTTCAATACATTTGTACTTTTCTTGTACCCCAAATAGCAGCACTATAACCCATAACAGGCCAAACAATGGAATCATACAATTTTTTTAAATACATTGAAAGGCATACCTCCAAGTTGCTTTAATTTTGCAATAATAAGTCCGAGAGCCCTGCTTGCTGCCCTTAGCAACAAATTTTGCTGTAAAGTTATAGTCAAGAAACTCATTAAGAGCCAACCCAAGATAGACATAGCTATCAGTGACATTTAAACTATCAGTTCGCACAACTTGAATGGAAACGACTGTTCTTGGTGTCGATAAGCTTCGAAAATGTACAATAATTACTTTTCATTTACATTGATTGTCATATGATTTGTATATACACCATATAAATACAGTATCTAACATGGTTTGTAAATCCTGCTCATTTTTTGCCAAAAGTACTACATCATCAGCATATAATAAAATTGATAAGAATTTATCCTCTTCAAGTTCTATTCCTAGACCTAGAGACTTTATGTTTACAGCCAGACTCATTTATATAGCAGTTAAATAACACAGGGGATAAAATGCAATCCTTGACGTAATCCCAAATTAACATCAAAACCACTTTGAAGTGTAACCATTCAGTCTTATACATGAACTTACACAAGATATATAGAGACTTAATAACATTTTAACATTTTTTTTTTTACAATTCAATCCCATCTTAAATAAATGTTCCCATAATATTGAACGGTCAACGGTGTCATAAGCCTTTTTAAAATCTATAAACGCAGTAAAGTGCTGAGTTTCATTTTTAATCTAGTTTCTATAATAGATGTGATACTTGATAAATGGTCCCCAGTACTACGCTTCTTCCGAAAGCCATTTTGCTCATCTACCAATTTGGAGTTATCCTCTAACCATGATGATAACCGTTCGTTTTAATAACTGAGCAATATAGCTTGTACATAGTAGGCTTGCTAAAGTTATACCCCTATAATTAACGGATTCAAAGGATCTGTTGTATTAGATTTTGGGATGGGATTAATAATGCCTTTTCCCCAGTCTTTTAGGTATTTGACCAGTTTCAAAACATACATTAAACAGTACATGCAAGAATGAAACTGCAGTATCATTTTTAAAAGCTTCATATCGGTATGTTATCAACAACCACAAGCTTTACGGAAATCAGCTTTTATCTATGGCTTTTTTAACTTCATTTACTGAAATATTATTGTCTAGCTGTGGGATATAACTGTTATGATCTGTCTGAACGTCTCTTTTGACGATAAACACTAGATCCATCAGCAGAGGAACCATTCAAGAGATTCTTTAAAACTATCTTTCCAATAATCTAAAACTTTGTCTTGATATCTGTAACTAATACTCCTTTGTCATCAACAAACTCAAAATGGAATGTTGTGTAGTTTTTGTTTTTAGATATACCCACTTTACCAATTGTTTTCCAAAACCTGTTTTGGTCACATTCTACATAGTTAAGTAGTTCTCCCTGCTGTTGGAACCAGTATTTATTTTTTTTAGTTTTTTGTACCTCCCTATCAAAAAGTTTTTCTACAGTTTCTATATATACAATTCAGCTCTTTCCTTCTACCGTTAGATTTACAACATAGCCAGTCTTTTTCTGATTTACACACATTGTTCCATAACAAACTTAAATCATCATTCCACCATGGTTTCCCGACCCTTCTCTTTTTATTCATTTGAGAACTGTTTAAAACAAAACGTTTACAAGACAGTTTATCATGCATATTCATTTTTAATAGTATTACAGAGTGTCTCGTATGCATTATCAATATCACACTGTGTTCGTAGCCCTTGTTCCAACTGGTGGACTGACTCAAAATAAGTCTGATACTACTTTTTTGATCTTGTAAAAAAGTTACCTGGAATATTTTTTGAAATCAAACTTAGTTTCATGTATTTCATGATTATTCTTTGAATCAACTCGTTGAAAATTATAAAGAATATTCCACTGCAAAAGAGAATGGTCGGGACCTCCAATTGGTTTGTACAAAATTTGCATAATTTACTAAATCTGAAAGAACATACAACTTTAAAATCAGAATACATATACAAATCATCATGACTAACAAGACAATAGTCGACCACTGATTAGCCTTGTGGTTTAATGCAAGTAAAATCATTTCCAACACAATTTCTACCATTTAGGATACAAAAGTTTGCACTAATTAAAAAAAATCAATTAAAATATCACCATATTCATTACATGTATAGTCAATTATATTTCGACTAGGTATACAGTCAACACCTTCAATAAAGTCATATTCCTCCCCACATCGGCTGTTAAAGTCACCGCATATACAGATAGAACCTTTATTCTGATAGTCATAGATACCACCCAGAAGTTTATCATAAAATATAGACGCAGCGATCTGTCTAGACGAGTTCTTTGGGGGAAGATAGCATACACACATAAATAAATCTTTCCCATTAAATCTATCTTTTAGACATAACCATAAAATACCCTCTTCCTGATCATTTTCAATAGAAATATCAAAAAAACTGAAAAAGATCTTTCTTCACTTAAAAAAAGCCTACCCCCCCCCTGAACCTCCCCATGCATTCACATGTAAAGTCTGTCTATTGTTACCAAACCATTTATAATTTTCAAGAATTAATTGTTCATTGTTTTTGAGATGTGTTTCAGCGATACCTATAATATCTAAGTCTAGATAAACTCGTATACATTCATTTCTTAATTGAAGGTTTATTGATTCATTATCAGTTTTCCATCCATTCACATTCCAAAATCCTGCTACAATCTAATCTTTGCCTCTGTCCTCCCCGATGACTATTCTGGTATCTTCCCACGTCCCCCTCGATGACCACCATGTATTGCTGCCCTCTTGTTTGCCCTCTTCCTGAATTATCGCCCCCATTAGATGGTGAATCTCCATTTTCATTTCTCACTGCTTGTATTACGTTCAATTTGTCTTGGACGGTTCTCATCCGTCCACCGTATTTCTATTAGTCTCCTAGAGTAGTGTTATCATGTCGTATAACTCGCCGGTCCCTGACGAACACTAAGGTTTGACGTACTCTCCTTAATGGCAATGACAATCTGTGTGCATGTTAGCAGCCATAACTCTGTCTTCCTTTGTCTGATCACTGCTAATGAAAACTGAACGAAATATTGTCATCATCCTTTAAAACACTTTTAGCACTTAAGAATTTTTCTTTTTATCATTTGTATCTTTACATTTCACAATCACCAACTCCTGGTTTGTTGTTAAATTGATCTTTTCCTTTCCACCTTTTTCGACCGAAACATCACGCAATTTAAGTCCTTTATGCAAAAGGTCTTCAACTTTCCTTTCTAAATTCTCAGATTCATGATATGGTAAGTTCCTAACCACTACATTACACTCAATTTGTTTGTTACCACGTTGGATATTTTCTATCTCCCTAAGGGACAAATCTTCAATTTTCTCATTTAAGTTGTGAAATGTCATCTATAACTTCTTTTTCTGATATCTCCAATTTTATTGTCAATCTCTTTCCAGTACCTTTGCTGTTTCAGAACTTAATCTCTTATCAAACATTTTTAGTCAGTTTGTCAGTAATCTTTTCTGTTAAATGTTTTTCAGTATCAGAGATATATGTTCTTGCAAATAAATCCAAACGGCTGTTCATATTTTCATGGATCTTACGCACATCTTTGGACAGTTGTATTAACAAGTCTATATTCAAATCAGAATTGGCATTACCTGAAATATCCTCCGAAGTCTGTTCATTCATGCCCCAATGTTCTCCTCAATATATTCACTTATATAACACAGTCATTACCTTTGTACTTTTTGACCGCCTCTTCATTATCCATAGAGAGCAATGTCTACGTTTTCTATTGTGTCCCCGAATAGGAGTATTCACCTTCGTGACTGGCTGAGAAAGACATTACCAAGTCCACGTAGTCTTTCGCTTCAAAAATCAGCGTTCCTCCAGACCTCAAGTTAAAGTAAATTTCCCTCGTCGCCATACGGCTTACTGTTATTCTATTAATGTTACGTAAATATCATACAATTATACTTTGTAAAAAAATAGTGGGTTCCTAAAAGGTGAAGTTTTTCTTCATAAACTTGATCACACCTGTAATGGTTAACTCTAATTTAGCACACAAAAATACACATGTCAAATAATCGATAACATTAATAAAATAAAAAGATAATTATTTTGCTTTTTCTCAAGAAATTTTATTGAAACTATAATTGCATTTCACAACAAAATTTATTCATTGTTCATTTACACTACTGAATCAGATCAACCTTAACGTATCTGGATGTAGCGCCACAAGAATTTTGAGCCACACATCTGTAAATGCCAGTATTATCATGGGCAATACCACTGAAAACGAGCAGGTTTGCACCAGATATAACCTCCACGTTGTCAGGAAACTGATGTCCAACTATCTACAATTATACGCAAAACACATAAATGTAAGCAGGGTTGATTTTATTTTTATTAAAAATTCTTGCATGAAACTAACTAATATTGTATTAATCTTGATAAGGTCTTCCTACTAGGGTTAAAAACTTAAAATTACAATTTTAATTCGTCAGCAAAAGTTGCTTGCTTGAAGTTTCAAGGTCTCTAGTATGATGACTGATTTGTGTCATGTCTTATTTTCGCTCTGCGGGGTACCAGGCGAAAACAAGAAAATAAGGCAAAGTATTGATCACTTTGTCGTATTTTCGTGAAGTGCCCCGCGGAGCAAACGTGCTGTAGCGCCGATATATGTCCAAACGTCGAAAAATGTCCAAACGACGATAAATGTCCAAAAATTTGACGATAAATGTCTCAATCGCCGATAAATGTCCAAAAACTCCTTTAACGATAAATGTCCAAAAATTAACGAAAAATGTCGCAACAAATTAGGTGCTCATAAATGTCCAAATTGGTTAACGATAAATGTTCTAACTTTTTCATATGTTAATTGCACTTATTTCTATGATCAACAGTAATGCATTAGCCAGTTATAAAGGTTTCCATAGTGATTAAAAGTACCGATTTTAAGTAGCGTTCTCACCAGCATCCCGGCAAAGCCCAGGACCACCCCAGACGATCCGGGATGAAAATATTGTTGCAGTTCTCAATAACCCCCGGTAGCACTACGACGATCCCAATGTCCATACTTTATAACAACCAGGATGAACTCCGGGCCCATCATGCAGAGTCCAGTTGAAACTACGGATAATGCAGATAGTAAATGGACGACGGATGACCTAACACGATATTTCAAACGCTGTTACGTCTTCGATCAAAGAGATCATAAAAGCTGAGATCCATGCTAGCACAGCCCCGGATGATGTCGGCAGAGTCCCGGATGATCCTGGCAGAGCCCCGGTACGGTCAGATAGAGTGCCGACAATCACCGGTAGAGCCCCGGCAGAGCCCTTGATCATCCCGGACGTTGCCGACAGAGTTACGGACGTACCCCGGTCGTTCCTGGATCACATGACGACCGACGGGACTCTAGCGGGATGCTTGTGAGATTGTTAAAAAAGTTTTAAAAATGTATTTGAAAATAAGTTGATTGTTGGATACAGTCTATCTCCCTTACTATTAAAAAGGGAAAAAATAAGTTAAACCGAGGTGCATTGTACTGGTGCTTTACACACGGGTACTTAAAAGAACCAGGGTCGCCTCTGGAACGGGGCGTCTTCTGTATCATGCACTATCCCCCGAAAAATAATATACTAACAATCTTCAGGGGACGTTGGTCATATGGGCAACCGGTACCAACGATAAAAAAGTCAAATAAAATAAGTTATTATGCCCCCCTTCGAAGAAGTGGGGGTATATTGCTTTGCCCATGTCGGTCGGTCGGTCCGTCCGTCTGTCCGTAGACCATGCCATTTCCGCTCAATAACTAGACAATGCTTTGGCTGATGGTCCTCATATTTGGTGTGAAGGTTGGTCATGACTAGCAAATGACCCCTATTGAATTTGGGGTCAGTAGGTCAAAGGTAAAGGTCACAGTTACCTCACCATGAAAAGCTTGTTTTAGAAGATATTTTGTGTGTCACATTGTCTCATTGACAACTACAGGGTTTACTCAATTCATGGACCCATGGGTCATATTGGTTCTGCCCCATGGCAATGATATACATGTATTCCATAACAAATTTACTATGCATTTTTTTATACACATTTAAAAATCTAATGTTATAATATTAAATTGGCTGTGTTTAGGGGGGCATACATGTTTTACAAACATATCTTGTTAACATCTGCATTGCGCTACTCTACACTTATACCTATATTCAGTGTCGTCACTCGAACTCAACCTCCACTCAAACTCGGGGAAGGCTTCCTTAAGGACGAATTGAGGACGCCTTGGTCAAGGTGAACTTAAGTGTAGAATTGGTATTCATATTTGAAAGTCTTCCTCGACTTACCCGAGAAAGGTTTGAGTAACAAATCACCAGTAAAATCACTGTTATAGGTGATCTGTTCAATAAAATATACAATAATTACATAATTCATTATGCATATCAATTGGATTTCAAGATAAGTATTGATTTGAAAGTATCATAAATATGAGTTTGGTACAGACATCATTTGTACTTTTGAAAATGATTTGCAGAATAAAACGTTGACTATTGAGCAAGTGGTCTGTGTACAATAATATTTCATCTTTATTTAAATTATATTCTTGCTTCTACCATCAAATTGCTGAAGTCTATCGACAGAATTAATTTATTCTACGTTTTTTGAAAATGTATTTATCAGGTTTGAGTTATTTTCACGACTAAAGCGCAGTTTGATTAATAGTGAACACTAATATAACTTGAAAATGTGAAACATTTTGGACAGAAAAAGAGGTATGCTTATTTCTACCATATTCATTTATTCAGTTGATGCACATAAACTAATAATTTTCTTTACAGTTGATGAATTTGTCTTTACGTACCAAAATGGTTGTTACTATTAGATTGGTACTTTTGAATATTCATAGAACTGTGTCTGTTGATGCTGACGTCAACGACACTGGGATGCACAGGGGTAAATATTATATCGATTATATATCACATACGTTACACACAAACACCTATTCATATTCATTGACAAATTGTGATAATTTCAAAAAATAAACGTTTGTCGAATGGAGAAGAAATGTTTTAAAAGTTTTTGTCAACAGATTAAAATAAATATTACACAGTATTCGAATAGTAACATTATAATTTATATATGATTATTCCTCAATATATCCTTCAATGTAAAACTCCCATAGGGCTACAATGTGTTCTGATCGAATATCACCCTCCTAGAAATATTTCTCGGGTAATATTTCTTATATCACCCTGGGGTACATAACTCTTACATAACTCTGTATTGATAAAAACGATAATGCTTTTGTAACCAGTTAGCATATTGCAAAATGACAGCCATGTGTTATTTATATAATATTGTTAAGTTAATATTTGACATATAAGTAATTTTTAAATGTACATGTTTGTATCCAACCAGCACAGCAAGAAAACATACTATAATATGGAACGCCTGGACTGTCTTATGTTAAGAATGAATGATATACCTGGTTAACTGTCTTTCTGTAGAGTCCGAGATACAATATGCTGGGTGGAAATCCTAATGTGCTCAGTTATTGAAGTGCTATGTTGTGTGCCGACTGTATTTTATCTAGTCAAGTCAATGTATTGTCAGGTGCATTAGTCGTTCTGTTCAGTTCTTAAAACAAACAGGCATGTGGTAACACAATTATGTTGAGTTAAAAAGATATGTTGTTGGGTGTGACAGTTATTATGTTCGGTTATAATAATATGCTGTTTGGTGCTCTTCTCATCATGTTCAACCATGAAAATAAACAGTTGAGTGGTACTATAATTTATTTTGGCTGAGGCAGTATATTATTGGGTGATACTTTTATTATTTTCAGTTGCAATGACATGCTGTTGGGTGTTTTATTCCTTCTGTTCAGTCGTGAAATAGAACTGTTAACTGGTACTATCATTATCTTAAATGGTACTATCATTATCTTGTGTGCTGATTATATCTTCTTCAGTCAAGTCAATGTGTTGTTCGGTGCAAAGGTCGTTATGTTCAGTGGTTTTTTGGTACTATCATTATGTTCAGTTCAGATGATAAACTGTTCGGTGCAGAGGTCATTATGTTCAATAGTGAACACAAACTGTTTTGTGATACCAAAATTATGTTGGGTTCATTCGGATATTTTCGGGCAACAAAATGGGAGCGACTAATTTCCATAGGTCACGTCGAGGCTAATGACCACTAAATTGCCAAAACAATTTTCTTCCCTGTAAATATCATCGGGGGCTTAAGAACGTTATTTTCATAAATTGGACTTTTAAATACCCAATGGGTATTTTATTTAGTTAATTCATGACTATACTATACTGTTACAGTCATAATGGGTACAGTATATAAAACTTAAAATATGGGTAAGGGTAGCCTGTTAAAGTCACACATGACCACCGTAAATAAAACTTAAAATTAATCTGTTTGGTAACCTATAAGAGTCACAAATGGACACAGCAAACGAAATTTAAAATATAAAACATCATATACAAGTAAGGGAACCCTATTTGAGTCACACATGGCCACAGTATATGGAGCATATAAGTAAGGTAGCCTATTAAAGTCACATATGGCCACATGCAGCATATGCAACTTAAAATATATGTGTTGGTAACCCATTTTAGTCACACATAACCACAATAAATGGAACATAATATTTAAGTAAGGGAAACCTATTTGAGTCACACATGGCCACAGTATATAGAACATTAAATATAAGTAAGGGTAGCGCAATAAAGTCACACATACCCACATTATGAAGAAAATTCTATATAAGTAAGGGAAACCTAATTGAGTCACACTAGGCCAAAATATATGGAACATTATATTTAAGTAAGGGAAATCTATTTGAGTCACACATGACTAAAGTATATGGAACATTATATATAAGTAAGGGTAGCCTAATAAAATTAGACTCAAATACATTTCCCTGACTTAAACATTATGTCTAATATATTGTGGCCATGTGTGACTCAATTAGGTTTCACTTACTTATATAGAATTGTCTTTATACTTTGGCCATGTTTGACTTTATTAGGCTACCCTTGCTTATATATAATGTTCCATTTACTGTGGTCACGTGTGTCTCAAATGGATTTTCCATACTTATATTTAACGTTCCATATACTGTGGCCATGTGTGACTCAAATAGGTTTGCCTTACTTGTATGTTTCATATTTTAAATTTCGTTTGATGTGTCCACTTGTGAGTCTAAAAAGTTACCAACACATATTTTATGTTTTATTTACGGTAGTCATGTGTGACTTGAACAGGCTACCCTTACCCATATTTTAAAATTTATATACTGTGCCCATTATGACTGTAACAGTATAGTATAGTCATAAATTAACTTGATAAAATACCCATTGGGTATTAAATATGCCATACGATCTGTCCAATTTATGGAAATAACGTTTTTAAGCTCCCGATGGTATTTACGGGGAAGAAAATTGTTTTGGCAATTTAGTGGTCATTAGCCTCGACGTGACCTATGGAAATTAGTTGCTCCCGCCCGCCATCTTGTTTGACGCGAAGATATCCGAATGAACCCAACATAATTGTATGACCACTCAGCGCATTGTCAAATGACTTGTGCACCGAACAGTATATCATCTGAACTGAACATAATGACTGTATCACACAACAGTTTGTGTTCACTACTGAACATAATGACCTCTGCGCCGAACAGTACATCATCTGAACTGAACATAATGACTTTTACACCGAACAGTACATCATCTGAACTGAACATAATGACCTCTGCACCAAACAGGATATCATCTGAACTGAACATAATGACGGTATCACACAACAGTTTGTGTTCACTACTGAACATAATGACCTCTGCACCGAACAGTATATCATCTGAACTGAACATAATGATAGTACTATTCAACAGTTCTATTTCACGACTGAACAGTCTGAATAAAGCACCCAACAGCATGTCATTGCAACTGAAAATAATAAAAGTATCACCCAATAATACACTGCCTCAGCCAAACGAAATGATAGTACCACTCAACTGTTTATTTTCATGGTTGAACATGATGAGAAGAGCTATTTTAACCGAACATAACAACTGTCACACCCTACAACATATCTTTTTAACTCAACATAATTGTGTTACCACATGCCTGTTTGTTTTAAGAACTGAACAGAACGACTAATGCACCTGACAATACATTGACTTGACTGAATAAAATGTAATCAGCACACAACATTACACTTCAATAACTGAGCGCATTTGGATTTCCACCCAGTATATTGGGATTTTGACCCAGCATATTGTATCTCGGACTCAACAGAATGACATTTAACCATGTATATCAGTAATTCTACACATAAGACAGTCCAGGCGTTCCATACTATTACGTCAAGTGTCTATTACGGTGGCACAGATGTGACACATGGGTGTCTTTATTTATCTTGTTCACACGAGATATAATCTTGTTCCCACAAAATATTATCTTGTTCCCACGAGATATTATCTTGTTCCCACGATATATTATCTTGTTCTCACAAAATAATTATCTTGTTCCCACGACATAATTATAGCCAGAAGCTGTAAAATGGTAAAATAGCAGTTACTTCCCCTTATTTAGTTGATTATTTACTTGATTATATATACATTATATTCATGTATAACCATGTAGGTTGATCTTGAAAGTGTCACACTGTAGGGACATTCAAAACCTTAACTACCAATTACTGGTGTTTAATAGCGCATACCCTCATCTGGTGACGCATTTGCGTGCAAACTGATCTGGGTCGACACTGGAGGGTTACATGTAAGTAGCCTTTCAAAACTCTAAGGCGGTGGCCCCGCAGTGGCATTCAGTCCACCACGCGCGAATGAGTAATAATCAAATACAAATGTCTTAAATCAATGAAGCATGAGAAGGACCGTCTTCGTAGCACTTAAGAGAAAAGTCACAAAACCCATTTAACATGTGTTGCGTATATGCTTAAAACGACCATTGTCGAACCATATCCCCCGACAAGCAAATGCGTCATCCTGTCAAGGTCTGCACTGTTCGCTGTTGAATCAGTAGGTCAGATTTTAACTGTCAAAGCAGTTAACCCCTTGATTAGCTCACATGGTTTATACAGGTTTACCGTTTTGTTTGCCAGATAGAGTTGCATATTTTTCTTAACTTTTGACCACTTGACAGTAAAGGAATATTAAACTTTGTCCACGCCCCTCACAAACTTTCGGGACGGACACTTAGACACTCGGACGGACAATGGCAACGCTATATGGGGCACAAAAATATTGAAGAACACAAACAATGCTAAAACGTATTGCTTCAGTGAGTTAAGAAGGCACATGCCCCCGCGCCCTGGCCATGCACAATAATATATGATACATTTTACGTCGGGGGTAAACCAGAGGGTAAAATCACGGGTTAGTTGGATAGAATGATACAGTATCCAATACAATAAATTACAAATTAACATATGAAAAGTTGAGACATTTATCGTTAACCGATTTGGACATTTATGAGCACCTAATTTGTTGTGACTTTTTTCGTTAACTTTTGGACATTTATCGTTAAAGACGTTTTGGACGTTTATCGGCGATTGAGACATTTATCGTCAATTTTTGGACATTTATCGTCGTTTGGACATTTTTCGACGTTTGGACATATATCGGCGCTACACGTGCCACGAAGTAGTCACTGTCATATGTTCATGTTTTTCTCTAGCACCGCTCGAAGCAAAAATACGACATGGCACAACTCTAAATACAAATATTACCACAGGTAGATGAGGTATATGATTTTAATTCAATATCTTATTACATATAGAGTCTGATCATGGCCCATGCTGTTCGCTATCAGTTTCTCGTTTTGTAATAGGGTTTGTAAGCGAACAGCATGAATTGTGGATGCACAGGCTGGTCTGGATCCATGCTGGTCGCAAACGCACTATGTTAGTTTTGTCATGGCGTGGCTCTTTAATTAAATTCTTCGCTTTTTGTTCTGTTAAGTAACTATAAATTATCATGATAAAGAAATGATACCAAACCTTCGGTCCTTCCCAAAGTATGCTATCCGCGTGGGTTGCATTGCAATGAATGGTCACAAAGTCACCAGCATGAGCAAACGTGTCTTTGTCAATGTAAGTTATGACTGGTGGTCCTGGAAATATGTTAAAATAACAGTTTTTTGGCATTGCTTATATCAAAGTAGAAAATGGGGTATTATTCTCCCGGCTTTATGACAGAATTACGAACTATTACCTACAAGAAGAGGATAAAGGCCATGAACAACATGGATAAACTATACCACGCAGAGGTTAGGTAAACAATCAACTGAACCAAAGTGTATCGCTTAAACGGAGACTAGAATACCTCTTTCCATTTTATGGAATAGTTTAGATACATACATATTATCAAAGAACGTTACAATTTATTAACAATTTAGTAAATACATGTATAGGCGTACCGAACATATAATCTTTGTGTTGCATGTATACTAAATGACTAAATAAAAATCACCCCGGAGATACAGATATATTGGTCTACTGTATGTCTTCACAAGAGAACCCACCTGTACAACAAGGATCATTGTGACACAATTGTGTGTCAATTTTACGTCCAATGCAATTACTTCCTCCGTTCTGCGGCGGTGGATTGTCACAATGGCGAAATCTATGTTGGATACCGTCTTTACCACAGCTATATGGACATGGAGTCCAGCTGGACCAACTTCCAAACTGACCATCCACTTGTCGGGGCAATGCTTCAATTAAAGTAGCAAGATTTTTATTACTACAGTTTACCATGTGATGTATGAATTCTACTCTCGTCACACACATACAATGTAATTGCCTGAACATATGCGTCGTATTTTGATAATCTGATAACCATATAGAAAACAAACAGGCAAACATACAATCATACAGGCAAATATAATGGAAATAGTAGAAAATAGTTTTTTAAAACAATTTAAGGTAGGATTATATGATATAACTTTCACAAATATACCTTTGTCTTACTCTCTACTCATTTATATGTAAAATAAAAATCACTAATAAATCAATGCCATTTTGAATGCATATCATCACATATATTAATTAAGTCAAAGTATAAGATAAGCAAAGACCATTGAGTTATAGAGTTCCATTTAGTAAACGGACAAGTAAAATGTCAACATTTAAGAATAATTCAACAAGTCAACAAACATCCGAATAACTAACACCATTCAATATATTTACTTGATAATACCACTGTCGTTGGGTCAGTTCTCGTTTGTGCTGTGCTGGTAAGTTTGTCTATAACTGGTGCGTTCGTATTTCCCGCACTATTACAATCTATATCATTACAAAGGTTGTCATAGCAACATTTCATGCAGTCAAGCGTAAAATCTTGTCTCTTTCTGTACGTTTCCAGTTCTCTTTTACCAACAGCAATCATTTCATCTGAGGGACAGACCTATAGATATTTGTTGTCTTAGATTACAAGTATAGTTTATCACCGTAATGATTGTTATTTTTAATGCTAACATTTAAGTTATATTTTAAACAATTATCAATTATGATTTCTTATTTTATTTATCCCTGTATCCAGACAGGTATCAGGGGTGTCAAGACACCCAATCTCAATAGCTTAAAATAGATCCTAGTTGAATTGTGAGCCTATAGTTTAAGCCTAATCGTTATAAACAATTTATTGTATAAAAAATCAATTGATATCAGTTAATTGTAATCGAGGGTTTTATAATGAGTGAACAGATGCTAATTTTTTCATTGTCAATTTGAGTTGAATTCACTATATTTCTTAAAGGCTTGTTGTCATAACGGCAATTGACCATCATTTGATATTAGAAAATATTTAGAATGAAATAAAATCTGCCTAAAATATAAAAAGACTGTCCCACTCTTTTTATAAATTGGACGTAGCATGTAAATTCCGATGGATATTAATAGGAATTTTCTTGAGCTGTGTGAGTTGTTTATCGTTCATACAAAGTAAATTATAAAATTAGAAGGAACTTTTGCAAAATGAAAACTTATTTTGATTTTTATCGGCTTGCTCGGATGGGCATAATGTCACTCTAGGCATGGATGATCATGGGTTATATTTTATCAAAGCATGAAAAAACCATGGGAAGTATAAAATCAAAGTAAGGATGATCATGGTTGAACTAGTTAATGATATGGTACTTACAAATTTGTTGACACAATATCCATTAAACATGACACTGTCTCCTGTTAAAACCCTTGCTAACATACATGCCTGTCAATCATCAATATTCAAATTCTTATTTACCAATTATAAAAGCAAGTTTGATCACTGTCAATATGTAAAATATCATATATCTGTGTAACATAGAAACATATTTCTATTTTATGTCATTTAAAAACTTATGTTATTCAAAGCAACAAGTTTATTATTTAAAGCAATTTGTTAATTCCGTATTTATTCCATGTGTTAATTTCATTGAGAGTTTTAACTTTTATAAGACCGGTCAATAAATGTTGCTTCTACTACTACTACCACTTCTACTTCTTCTTCTTGCATAACGTGTGTTGATATGAGTGTGAAACCTTACAAGTGTTGTTAGATGGGTGATAAGACTAATCATAGTACTTGCCTCGTCCACTGCGCATTGGGTAACTTCTGAACATTCATTAGCTGTATACTGGTCGTGACAGGTGTAGCAGATCGGCCCTTGTTGATGCGGCAATTCTAAAGAAAATAACAATGTTATATTCCCTATAACTTCAGGAGAAAGAGAAAAAACGCTTACTTATCAAGCATCTAATAATAAATGGAGTTGTATGTTTATTTTTATCGCAACAATAACAATAATGAGTTCGTCTGTTTGGTGATATTGTATTTATTTATGCAATGTAATTTGTAAGGTCGATTAATTCTCTAAACACTACCGATGATAGTATAATATCTTAAATTTGAGGATATATTGATGGAATAATTTGTTCCATACAAAATACTAAATCACTATAAGTGTACTTATTGTCAAAACGCAAACGATTTAAAAGATGTCAGGCATACGGCCAATGTGTAACTTTTTTGAAAACTGTAACAGGGCGCCAAAAAATAAAGGAAAATTTTGAAAAGAATATTGCATTTTAATTCTTAATTCTTTTTTTTTTTGTTCTTAATGCGCATATGATTTATCATTTACATCATCTGTCAGGAACATTACCTTTGATATCACATCCTTTATTGTTGCAGAGATCTCCATGGCAACAAGAACTACATGTAAAGTCGGTTCTGTAATTACTGCAATTCTTTTAAAGAAAAGTATAACGATTATTTGCTCAAAATTAAATTTCTTAAGTTACATTTGTAGAGTTTAGGTACAAAATCGGTGTGCTACAAAATCTATAATATACATGTATATAGTACATCGCCGGTTAAGCTTGTTGCAAAAAAGTATTATGTTCTTAACCATACTTGTGCTGTTAGATTTTTTGATTACTTTCCACCAGTTAAAGTTTACATGTATAAATATTGCAGACATGTGACTCTATGGCAATGAAAAACTAGTTGGTTTTTATCATATAATTTAATGCTGTTTTAAAACAAACTTCATGTAGACTAGAGAACCACTTTAGTTTAAAGATATAGATAAATTAAAATAAAATCGAACATTTGTATCCTTGCATCCAAGATTAAGTTTTCCTGCATTTAGCAAATCAGTTTCTATGGAGCAAACCTGAAATATATTTGATAAAATCATAGTTGATGATAAGATTAGCAAAACTTTTTATTTATCTACTGCTGACTAGAAGGAACTGACATTCTTTGCAATGAAACAAAGTATAAGTTTATCCCAAACATTTGAACAGTGATAAACAGTACAGAGAGGCGGCATGAACGAGCAGTTTACACGTCATACTAGTAATCTAAGGATTGCTAGACATGTTAATTCAAACCCCATCAAGGGCAAGCCATTGTTTCATTGAGCAAGGAACTTTACACTCATTGCTTAGTCCCGGTTGGTTCCAGGAACAGATTCGAGAGTGTTTCAATAAGGTTTTAGCTTCCAACACAACCGAATTAAAATACATTAGTATTAACTAAACTAACAAGAGAGAGCGATGTCCCAATGTCAATTGGAATGTATTCATAATTAGACCTCAGATGTTGACTTAGATAATCTAAACTAGTTGTATTTTAAACGAATTAGTTTATTCACTTTCATTCATAATATCACATATATGGAAGTGTATGGATGAAACAAGACTATTTGCATAGAATTGTTCGTTTCCTATAGGTATCAATAAGTATTTCTGAAACAAAGCAGTAAATTAGATGACACTTTCTACTCCATGTAATTTATTCCTTAATCAAGTAAAACAGTCAGGACAGATGAAAGATAATAGATACAAATCTCATGCATATAGTTTTTAAGTTTCAGATTAAAACTGGTATATTGCGCGTTTAAACATTTTGCAAGATCAATTTCCGTCATTGTATTGTCATCTTTGCAATTTCTGGTACAAAACAGAAAGAAACTAGAACTGTGGCCAAAGGACACGGATGCCCCCACTGACAACATATATATGGTATATAGTGAAAACATCAACAAGGGGGAAATAATTCTTAATTCTTAAATTTAGTCGCAGCAAAAATTGCTTCCTTTATTTCCATCTACACATTAAGGTTGTTTATCCCTGGAAGTTTAAGCAAAATCTGCCATCCGGTTTAAAAAAGTTGCGTTCACAAACTTTCTATATGGTATATAGTGAAAAAATCAACAAAGGGCCATAATTCTGTTAAATTTGGTCGCAGCAAAAATTCCTTCCTTTACTGCCATCTACACATTAAGGTTGTTCATCCCTGGAAGTTTAAGCAAAATCTGCCATACGGTTTAAGAGGAGTTGCGTTCACAAAATTTCTACATAGTATATCGTGAACAAATCAACAAAGGGCCATAATTCTGTTAGATTTGGTCGCAGCGAAAATTCCTTCCTTTACAACCATCTACACATTAAGGTTGTTCATCCCTGGAAGTTTAAGCAAAATCGGCCATCCGGTTTAAAAGAGGAGTTGCGTTCACAAGATTTCGGGACGTACGGACAGACGTACGGACGGACGGACGTAAGCACGGACAAGTGCAACGCTATATGCTTCCCACTTTGTGGGGGCATAAAAAATGTCGATCTCATTTAAGTTCGTGGAAAAATATTATGTACTTTTAAACACTCACTTTTCCCTCCATATTTGTTGGTATAAAACATAATATAAAAATGTATACCGATATGAAATTAGAAACAGTGATTTATTTATCGTGCAATGTGTTTGGCGGACCTACCCGCTTTTCAACAGTAAAAGAAACAGGACGTAAAGAGGAGTAATGCTCATTTTCATTACAGTTGAAATGGCAACAAAAAATGGATTTTCACTACCGGAAAACCATGTTCCCTTTCTTTAAGGTTATTTAGTAAGATTTCATAAGATGATAAGAAATTCAGATAAGAGCTAACACACCTGTTGTTTGTTACACCTGTCCACGGTAGAGCATGATGAAATGTCACTTACAGACTGACAGCTATAACACACCGGCCCTCTGTCACCTACGTTTGCATGTATACAGGAGTGTTGGAATATAATTCATAAAGAACGCACATATGCATAGAGTGAACAAATTTTTACTGTGAAATTGTAATAGTCATGAGAGACAATCTCATAATCAAGTTTCGCTTACTATATATAGCATCACTCTTAATGTCTTTCTTCTTATTGACACCAAATGTACAGTAGCATTGATTGTTATTGTAAACTAAAGTTTCTAAAATACAGCTCATTCAAACAATTACAAATAGAGTCCATGTCCATGATTATCACTATTTAAATATAGTTCCTAGTGTCAACTCACCTGATATAGAGCATATAACATGTAGTGTTAACGTAATAAATAGCAAAATAAACATAGCGTACAATCTAATTTTATTTATAATTATTCATCACAAAATTGGGTTATAAGGTTCTTATCTTTGCGCCGCTAAATTTGTATAATGGACGTATCTTGCTTTCAAGTTCGACCTTCACATTTTTAAATTAAGGTATTTTAGTATCAAACCATTTAAATGAGCTGTCGGTCCCGAATACAAGACTCAGTACATTATCGGCGCATGCCTCTTGCTCGTAAAATTATTGTATGTTAAGATTATCGGCGCATGCCACTTAACATGTGATAAATTATCACCGCAGTCTTTTGGTCGTAACATAGATTTACATTATCGGCGTTGTATATTGACATTATCGGCGCATGCGCACCTGATTGTTACATTAAATATATGCTTACATTATCGATGCATGCCTACTGATTGTTTACATTATCGGTCGTTACATTTAATACATAGATTTGCATTATCAGTGTGTACCTTCTTATCGTGACATAAAATAAATTTATATATGATTATTATGATAACCATAACATACATCCAATATTGCCGTGTGTACTAATAAATACACTACATAATAATATAATAATTGATATATGGAAAATTCAACAACAAAAGAATCATTCGTTATAAATCTTTATTATCCTCATTAGCACTACCGACACTGGTGATGTTGTAGTTCTATATAAAAATATTGGCATAATATGTCTACATTTACAAAAACATAAAACAAATCTTGCTAAAAGCGAATATATCAAAACATGTTCACAATGCATTACTATAAAATAACACAGTGTATAATATACATGTATGACCATTGTATACCAGCACAAGGGTAAAAAGGGTCAAATGTTTCATAACAACAAACAACTATAATGATACCTGATAAAGGGACATCGGACAGTTTGAGTATATTTGGATTGTAATATATCACTTTAAAGGTCTATTTAAATGCAATAGAATGCTCTTTATTTGAAAGAAATCCATCAATCCATCTGGAAATTATGACAAAATGACCGTTTTCTGAAACTGTTAATCGTAGTTTTAAATTTCATTCTTGTTAAATTATAGTCTCCATAAAGTCTCTAAATAATAATCACCATTCATTTTTGTTAAAACTACAGCAAAAGCCTACGCGTTTCTATTTCTTGCTAAATAATGTACTAAATTGCTTAATTAATTAATTATTGAATTCTGATAGTATGAGTTTATTACGAATTGTTGAGTTCCATTTTGAATTATATTGGTCGAGTAGACAGCTGTCAAATCTATATTGGACGAGACGCTTGCCGAGTTTGATATAGGTTTTGTACCTGGAACAAGGCCAGAAGAATCCGTATTGAACTCAACAATGTAGAATGCCAATTTTTTTACACCACCATTTCTTTTCATTTTGACAAATCTGTTTAATTCTTATACAATAATGATTTGAAAGAAATGTTTTGGACTTTGACAAGAAAGAGGCTTGATGTGGTACTACAGTGACTTGATATGGATGCTTTGGACTTGAAAAATGAAAACAATGCTAGATTAAGTACAACAGTTTTTTGATATAATTTGTTTGGACTAGCTAAATTGGTAAAATTGGATTCAATAATGATTTACATTCGGTAAACACATGATACAAACGCTGGTAGTTCAATGATACAGTTTATAAGGTGTGAACTAATCTGGTTATCAATTCATAGTGTGTAAGTAATAAATAATCTAACTATGGAAGAATTGGGGGATGATTTGCCAAATTAAATGATAAACTGTACTTGTTATCTAAAAATGTCCTATGTAAGATAAGCATTGCCTTCGCTTCAGTCAACCGTGAGATAAAATATGAACTTTTCTGCTGTAAAATGATTTCATTTTTAATAGTTTCAGATGTATATTATTTATAACCATTTGTCTCACCTTTTTATTTTAATGTTATGTTTATAATAATTAAGTTACAATGACATACACCATGTGTAATTTAGGCTGTATTTAATTAAATGCATATGTAAACTAAAATTCTATTAACTAATGCTTAAATGTACCATATAAGACCCGATGTATTCTTTTCATTTCACAATCAAGGTAATATAAAATAAAGGCAACAATAACAAGTAAAATTGATATACTGTATGCTGATATGCATATAAAACAAAACTATTTTTATGATGTATACTATTTACATTTGAACAACACTCCCTTCAAAAAGTGTGAAATTATGATTTTCAGAACATATTAAACACTCACACACATGGATATGTAAAAAATACAACTTGATCATGACGATTTGCCTTTACATTTTGAACACAGTCCTTTGAAATATTTTCCAATACTGAACTGGAATGTAGGAAGGAATGGAATATATGCTGCCCATCTCTGGCGTTTTAGACACTTCATAATGAATGGTAGATCATAGGTGTTGTCCTCCTCGGAAACAGAACCAGTTGGTACATCTGCCGTGTATGTCTTACGCCATGATTTTATACCCCTTTCTTCATCAGAACCTTTCAATTATTATAAAAAAATGTCTTGATATAAAAAGTCATTAAAGCAGTGCAGTAATATTTAATTAATTACTTTTTATTTGTTTGCAAAGATGTTCTATAACATTTCAACTATCAAATTCAAGACGGACAAACTGATGATAGAATACGTAGAGATAGAAGTTTAAAAATAGATTCAGATTTAAATAAGCAGGTTAACAGGCATAAAAACAATTCAATGCACTTAATACATGTATCGAATTCTTCTAAAAGGAGCTCTAGTGAGGTGAAGAAGCCTTAAAATATAAAAATTAAAAGTATTACTTAGAGCAACTAGTGCACTTAAAACGGAAAATAGGCAAAAATTGAGCCACGCCATGACAAAACCAACATAATGCGTTTGCGACAGCATGGATCCAGACCAGCCTGCGCATCCGCGCAGTCTGATCAGGATCCATGCTTTTCGCTTACAAACCCTATTACAAGCAGTTAAACTGATAGCGAACAGCATGGATCATGATCAGATTGCGCGGATGCGCAGGCTGGTCTGGATCCATGCTGGTCGCAAACCCATTATGTTGGTTTTGTCGTGACGCGGCTTAAATAATAATGAAATATTCTCAGAAGTGAATTCAATAGTGATATCTGAAGCGATTCTTTTATCATTTAGATTTTCATTCTCGGGTCATTTTGAACCATAAAAAAGGATAATTCTAGAAAAACAGAGTTAAGGAAAGATCTGAATTATGCAATTAATGATCTAGACCCTCATGAAATGGACGACAAATCCCGAAAAACTAACAATTTCCAGAAACGTCATGTCAGAAACAGACTTTCTTCTATTTTTCTTTTTCTTTTTTGTGCTTTTAAAAAAGTAAAAATCCAATTAACACAACAATTTAATCAACAGTCACCATTGAACTTTCATACAGATATAGATACATTATATTTCATACCTGTGGACATTAATTCATCATACTTAAAAATTTGTTCTTTTTATTGTTAATAAGGATCATTATCGCCTAGTTTTCTGTACTTTAACAAGAATGAATACAGAGATAAAAACGTTATATACGCAATATAGTCATTTAGTTTATTACCTGGAACTGTATTGTCTAATACACATCCTACAAAACCACCCACAAACATTGCAGTGCTCAATAAAACTGTTAAAACACGATCTATCTCGTCATTTCCTGAAGTGAAAGTCAATGAAATATTCTCAAAACTTGCTTTTAAAAATGCTTTAAACTATGGACATGTAATAAATACCGCGTGTTTACTCTCAATGAAATTGTTTTAAAACATTCGATAAAAATTGTACTTCTTTTTGTTTGTTGTTGTAATCGTAACCTTTAAAGGTTTAAGTAGAATGATTAATAACGGAATTGCAGCTATGATATAGTGAAGGCAGTTCACCTCTGGTACCACTGTTATAATGCATTACATTTTTGGCACACAGAACTATCATCCACTAGTAGGCTAATACACTAAAACATTCATAGTATAACTGCTTCCTCTGTAATTGTTTCTAATGAATAATGAGCTTTCAGCTTAGCGCAAAGGAAGTCTATTGAAATTTAGTTCATAAAATAAAGTAAACAAAACTATAAAATTTAGTCATGAAGTTAGGCACATTACTTTGTTAACAACACTTTCCAGGCAGCTTATTTCCGAGTCTCTTTATGTTAGTAATTCAAACCGGTAAAATTGATTTATAGAAACAGAAACACTTTCCAGGGATATCTATTATAGTAACTGCTTAGAGGCGGGTGTTGTAAAAAAACAGTTACATGTATGTCCTCATTATGTATGTACATAACACAATGTCACTATAACAAAATTTACTTATCTTATCTTATTTTGAAGAAAGTTAGATGATACAGCACAAAATATATTTCATGAAAAATAAGTATTGGAAGAATGTTTCGATAATGTAATTATTGAAGAGTTACCTGTTTTTATACAGCCTGGATTGGATATAATGTATTTTGGAGCCATTAAGCCAATCAGCAACGAAGATCCTATAATCACCAAATTTCGACTTGACTGTAATGACACAAACTGAAGATTTGACAGTCCTACAGCTGTGACCATTCCAAAACTGACGAGAACAATACCACCTAGTACTGGATCAGGTAGCATAGTCAACAAGGCGCCGAACTTCCCACATAGTCCACATATTAAAAATATCAACCCTGCAACCTGGAATGCTCTTCTACTTGCCACCTGTGTGTTTAACAATACATATAATGAGCGAATGTAGTAATTACAATGTCTTAAAGGCTGTAATATCTGTATATATAAGCAAAATCAAGACAGAGAAAGGTGAAAGCTATATCATATGTACATCATAGGAACATGTTGACCATTTTACTCTTTTTGCTACTGTCATCCAATGCTTTGGTATACATTTGTGCTTTATGAATAAAATCAGTAAAGTATAAAAAAAAAACTCGAAAAGGGGAGATTGCTAACCCAAAGGCAACGTTCAAAATATATCAGCTGTATGCATTCATGTTCTGGATTTTTGAGTTTTTCTTTTTCATTGCCATGGTTTCCAATGTCCAGCATATAACTCGTGATTTTTTATCAAGTAAGCTAAAAGATTGGATATAAGCTTCAAGCTCAATCCATGTATTCCTTACTACACAACGCGGCCCCTGAATAAAATAATGCCTTACATGCAGGGCCGGCCAAAAATAAACCTGCATCTCTACCAAAAACATTTTTTGTCAAATATAATTATTCGTCATTTTTTGTAGTGCATGTACTTACCATATAACCAGAAAATGTAAATGAAAATCATAATATTAACATGTCATGTTTTGTAAATTTCCAAAAATGTAAACTGAGATATATTTATAAAACAAAACTTAGAAACTTTGGTTTTAAACAGATGATAAAAATAATGAGGATACATTAAAGTATCATCTTTCATTTAATGCTATGTCGTTCTCATAGATACATTATTCTTAAATAAAAATATTTCAAATACAAAGGAATATTAAACTCACAATGTTGCTACCTACCCCTCCCAAACCGGCATAGGTACTGGGGGGATGAAGATATTTTAAGGCTGACCCAAAAGAAATATAAAGTAATTCCGCATAAAAATATGTTCTTGTTAAATACTGACTACATGCAATGAGATATTAAATTCTGTTATGCAGCCTCGTAACTGGCCCCATTTTTATTTCTTTAGCTTTATCACACCGCTAAACATTACAATAATTACGAGGGCGTCCGTGGTCGAGTGGTTAAGGTCGGTCACTTCAAATCACTTGCCCCTCACCGCTGTGGGTTCGAATCCAAACAGGGAAATTGGATTCTTTCATGTGAGGAAGCTATCCAGCTATCTTACGAATGTCGGTGGTTCTACTCAAGCGCCCGTTCGTGCCTGAAATAACGCACAGATGGACACCTGAGGTCTTCCTCCACCAGTAAAGCTGAAACGTCGTCACATGACCTATACTGTGTCGGTGTGACTAAAACCCAAACAAACAAACAATAATCAAGAGGGTTGTCCATAAAGTTTTGAGACTGCATATATAACAAGAGCTGTCAGAAGGACAGCGCGCTCGACTTTTTTAGTGCTTGCCTATAAAACAAAACTTTGACAGTTAAGGGCACACAAGACTTTAACTAGGAATTTCTAAGTACAAATCAAGAAACATTTTCACAGAGTTATCTTCTCTTGCTTACAGATAGGTCTCATGATGGCACATAAGAACTCCAACTTCCAAAGTAATATCTCAAATGGTTAAGTCAACAAGTGGACAAGAATGAAAAGTTTCTAAGTCAAAAAGGGCCATAATTCAAATAAAATCCTTAACAGAATTACCTTCTCCTGCCCATGTTTTGGGACCATGATGGTAAACAAGTATTCCAACTTTCAATTTAATATCTCAACCAGTTCAGTCAAAAAGTTGACTGGTACAAAAAAGTTAACCAAGATTCTAAGTCGATAAAAGGCCTTAATTTTTAAAACAAATCCCTGACAGAGTTACCTTCTCTTGCGTACAGATGGGGGTAATGATGTGAAATAGCATTAAAAGTTTCAAAGCAATATCTCAAAGGGTTAAGGCAATAAGTGGATTTTACCCATATTCAATGTATTTTCTAAGTCAAAAAGGGGCATAATTCTGTCAAAAACCTTGACAGAGTTATGTCCTCTTGTCTGTTGATGAAGGTCGTGATGGTAAACAAGTATGGTCAGTTTCAAAGCAATACCTCCAATGGTTTTGAAAATAAAGTGAGGTGGTACAAAAAACTTAACCAAGCTCAATACACTTTCTAAGTCAAAAAAGGGCCATAATTCTGTCAAAAACCTTGACAGAGTTATGTACTCCTGTCTGTAGATGGAGGTTATGATGGTGAACAAGTATGGTAAGTTTCAAAGCCATACTTGTAATACTTCTGAAATAAAGTGGGGTGGTACGAAAAACTTAACCAAGGTGTGACGCCAACGCCGACGCTAACGCCGACGCCGACGCCGACGCCGACGCCGGGGCGAGTAGGATAGCTCCCCTTTTCATAGAAAAGTCGAGCTAAAAACTTTACTGTTCACATTTTACCAACTAATTGGGCATATCTAACAAAAACTTTTTCTGAAAATTTTGAATATAAATACCGCAAAGTGACATATTCTATAAACACTTTTAAAAAGCACAGATAGCAGCATTTGAACCAGTTTGACACTTTCTTTTTTTTCTTTCTTTCTTTTTATTTTCATTTTCATACGCACATTTATCTATTTCAGGAGATTTTTGTTTCCAATATATTTCAATGCAATCTTGCAATGACATGTTCATTCACAATGGATAAGCCTGCTGCTCCACTTCTTCATGTCTATCTCTACTCTATAACGGTCATTCACACAAATGCCAGTGCCCTGGGACATATCGGTCTTGTTTTACCCCGTCTTATATAAGTAACTATGTGTACACAGTGTCTGCTTATTGTCCGACGTCAATTTTGGAGGCTGCTTTTTCCGACATCTTGTAAAAAGGAGTGCGTCTACTTCTATTTCTTGTGACAAACTTGTTCCCCGTTACATGATGCCAAAATACACAGAAGAGAAGGATACTTAGTTTTGACGTCATTTCGTCTTTTATGTCAAACATTTCGACTGATTTACATTTATTAGGTGTAATCGATAATAAATATACGACAGTGCGCCATGAACCGCTACACAAGTTGTCTTGACAACCATTTTCTTCCTAATTATTTTTTTAAAGAATGCAATTTCCGGTTAGTTTATTTATTTGACAGCAACAGTCTCAAAACTTTACCAACAACCCTCGTATATATACTACTTTGCCCATTTAAATAATTTCAATTTATCACCAGTGGAGCATTAACTGGACAGCATGACCCTCTTAATGTGTAAACTTGATTTACATAAGAACATTGTCGTTTCGTTTACCATTTGTACGGTATGTGAATTACCCATAAACACAAACTTGTCATTTGTCACTGGATAACGCTATACATAAATTATTAACCTGGGTTGAAACTTTTGACATTCAAAAACGAAGACATGCCGCTTATCACATACAAAGGTACTGGTCGCATTGATTTTGACCTAAAATATGTTTAATATTGTTATTCATGCAAAATAATATCCATATATTAAAATAATATATACATGTATATATTTTTTAAAAATTCAGATTGTTTTTTTTTTAAATATATGGATATTACATTTCCTGAATAACAATATTAAACATATTTAAACTGTTATTAATGCAATATAATATCCATATATTAAAAAATAAAAAAAAAATAAAAAAAATAGGTTTTTGTTATATTGTTAGTCTTAACAATATTACAAAAAAAAACAGAGTTTTTTTATTTTTTAATATATGGAAATTATATTTCATGAATAACAAAATTAAACATATTTTAGGTCAGTCAAATCAATGCGACTAGCACCTTTGATCACATGCAATAATTATTATTATTTTTTTTTTTTTTAGCAAAATGTTCCTTACCCTTTGTAAATCCAATGGCGCGCCAACATTTTGGCTGTAAGAAGTTGTCGCCCCTCCTGATCCTACAATACCAGATAGTATGCTACCAAACCCTTCCATAGCGATGCCTCTATTAACTGCGTGCGCAGGCGGGGGTGAAACGCAAGATATTCTTGCGCATGCGTAGT